AGCATTTCCCCCCCAAGAGCCCCAGGCAATTATGCGGCAGAGCCAGTCACAACTTTGGAGCCCTTTTGAAGTTCTCTTCTGGTGCCCGTAGCGGAGCCCTCCCTGCCGATCGTCTTTCTTATGGCAGCTCTTCATGCAGTGAAGACACCAAAGGCTTTGAACAACTTGGGCTTCCAAGCGAAATGCCCTTCGCCACGTCAAGCATTCCCAATGCATCTATTAAAATGTGGCAGAGGCAACACATGCACGCGTGGAGATGGCACCCAGCAAAGAGGGAAGGGGGAGCCCCGAGCCTGGGTGCAATCACAGTGCCTCAAAATCCTCAGGCCTTTTTGGTTGCCATGGCAATGTGTTTCTATGGAAGCCAAATCCGAAGCCTATTCCTGCCACTCCAAGGGTCCACGGTAAAATTATTAGCCTTGGAAATTAGCCAAGTTACTTGTCAATTGTAAACTGAGCCTCTCACCAACACCCACAAACAATAAACCTGGCTTTCTATTCCTGACAGAAGGATTAAATAAATAGGGAGACGGAGGGAGCTTGATAAAGAGCAAACAAGACCCGTATCGACCTCCCACCCCGGCATCCCAAGGGACAGACAGAAAGGAAAAGGCTTCTAAAAAGCTCCATCCGCATAAATATCTACAAAGAAATCCAGCATGAATATTGCTGTTAAGCCACTTTAACACACGTCAGGCAGGGAGTTTATGCAGGCTTTTGCTGCAAAACTTTAGTGAAGGACCTAAGGCGCTTTGAACTTAAATACCGAGGAGTCCTTTTCCCTTGACTCGCAATGTCTTGCCTAGGACTTGTGAATCCAAAACAATTTACTCGGTGAAATTCTTGGCCCAGCTTCACGATCTACAACATAAGCCTCATGGCTGATCCTGCTGGTTAGATCACAAGGAGCACGTCTACACGTTCATTAACGCACAGTAGTCACAGTGCATTAAATTTAGTACTTGTTATTACAGTTGCTAATGTAATGCACCATAATCAATGCTACTGTGCAGTAGTGCCAGAACACGTTTTTTAGGTGACGCTAACACACAGTAGACTAATTCTCCTGTGCATTAGAACAGTGGTCTCCAAACTTTTTTGATCGTGCACCCCTATCAGTAAAAAATTTTTGAGCACGCACCCCCAATATATGTATATTTATATAAATATACATATAAATAGAAGTTCTAATATTTTCTTCTCGCACCCCAATGGATCATCTTGCGCACCCCACTTTGGAGACCACTGCGTTAGAGCATTAGCACGGTTTTTGCCTGCCGTGCTAATGCGCAGTTGAATTAATCTGCTGCACATTTAGTGTCTCATGTAGACCCAAGGTCTACTGAAGTCTCACAATGGGATTGCAAGTTCACAATGAAGACCCTGAAGGAGGGGAGGGACAAACATTGATTCAGGACAGTTAAGATGATGTACAATTCCTTTTTTTAGGGTGTGCAGCTTTCCTTAAATCAATCCTAATTCCTTACTTTGATCCCAATTAAATCAATCCTGATTTTATTAATCTGAATAAAAAGGGAAGGGAGGATGTGGGATGCTTGAAAAGAACAGCAGTTAGGAGCACCAGTTACCACTGCTTACTGGGAGCTGTGGGAGTGATTCAAAGGCATGCAATGGTGACTGCTTACCTACTGAGTTGCTGACCGATCTGTGGTGACATTTTGCCACCCTGTTTAAATGCCAGCACCTTGATTTGTCCTAGTAGGTCAAGGGAAATGGCAGAAGCACAAAGCTACCTATTCAGCCTCTCCACTGCTAACCTGAGTGATTCACTGGAGTGATTCAGTCCCTGCGGCGTTGACCCAGTGTGTGTGGTGTGATTCAGGGAGGAAAATGAAACACTTCTCTAGGCCACCTGAAAACAAGCACAAAGCCACTGATGCTTCAAAGAGACACAATTCAGCCAATACCTAATCTTGTGAGTCAAGGGCTATGTTCCCATCTTTCAGATGAAAGTGAACTGAGTCATTTTAAAGCTGCTGGCAGAAGTTCAAATTTTTCATTTACAGGGGGAGGGGAAAAAAAAGAAAAAGCTGAACACTTTGAATGAACAGCACTTCTCTTCTAAAGGCTAAGGGTTTTGAATATTTCTATTCTGATTTCAATAGAAAAAGGTACACGAGGTAAGATGGGCAAGAACTAAGGTCTGGTATAATCATCAGATAATATTTGACTTAGGAAGGCAACAGCTCTCAAGAACAATTACTAGCTGCTTAGCGGCTGCATTCCCTACCACGCCACTTCTGTCTTATTTATTGAGCTGGAAGGCAAGGTAGAGTTGCACTTCATAGACAAACTAAATCAGAGATGTGTGTAGCATAAACTTTCATAAGCAGAGGGCTTATTTCAGAGGGGAAATCATCTCTTCACAGCAATTGATTAAATAAGTCTTCTGCTTAGGAAAGCTTATTCAATCAGCTGCTATGAAAGGATAGTGTCCCCCTCTGATGAAATAACCCCCTCCGTTTATCAAAGCTCATCTCAGATTCAGTTGGTGCAAATCTCCCTTGCCTTCTGCCTGACTTTAGGCATACTTCTTTTTACAGAGAACATTAGAGGCATTCCTTGCTCCACATAGGAGACAGGGGCAAAGACACAATTTTACAGCACAATTTAACAAAACCTAGGATTGAATATGTCCAGAGGGCTTTTATTTTTTTTTTTAAACAAGGGCGAGAGCCAAATTCTTAGCAAGGCTGATGCAGAGGCACCGGCAGCTGGGCTTTGAATTCTGGCTATGTTCAGAGATATTCGTGAAGATTTCCTGAATACTACAGCGGTTTTCAAGCTGCCTGCCCCAGTTTTAGTTTTCATAGGTCAACCTGCGTTGCTGAAGGAATTCAGTGCTTCGCTTCTGGAATTAGTGCTACACACCCACACATACCAAGAAGCATTTTTATTAGGGCTGTGTGAAACAGTGCCGTTTTGTTTTGACTTCCATTTCAATGGGACAGCATTTCGTTTAGAGTTGTGTTTTGTTTCAAAGCACTGTTCCATTTTGTTTCGTCGAAACTGTTTCGCTGTTTTGCCCATTGGTTCTAACGGGGAAGCACGAAACTGCCTATAACTTTGTCATTTCTTAGCAGGTTTGGATGAAAACAGCGGGGATGGTAGCCCCTTCTGACGGCACAAAGCCTGCCTAGTTTCAAGGACAGAGGTGCAGGGGTTTCTGAGAAAATGCACCTCAAGCTGCTGACAAGCAAAACTTGTGACGTGTGCGTTTTCCGTCCCTCCCCCAGAGCACTGGGATTGGAAGGGACCTCAGGGAAGGATCACAGCCACTGGCCAACTACAGTTAATATGAGAGCAGTCCTTCCCCCTCCCTCTCCTTACTTTCTGTTTTCCTGCAAGCAAGCCTGGCTTTGAAAATCGAAACACTTTGACTGCCCTCGTTTCATTTTGAGGCTGTTTCAGTCTTTCATTTTATTTTGATTTCACTGTTTCAAGCTCAAAACGAGTTGAAACAGCATCAAAACGAAACACCCAGTGAAATTTCGTACGGCCCTAGTTTTTATGCTCCTCTAAGCCAGGGATGTACAACTCATTAGGGTCCCACAGGCTGGACAGCCTACCTCTGGTAGCACAGCAACAGTTGGCCAGCACAGCTGCTGCACTGGCACGGCTTGGGAGGTGCTGTACCAGGTGTGCCAGAACCCAGGGGATGAATAATGCAACCCCTGTTCGCCCCCCCCCCACGACCACCAGCTGTGGTCACCACTGGCGACTGAAGTCTCCAAATTGGGTGCAGGTGAAGGAGTGCTAGGTGACAATGTAACTGCTATCAAATCACCCTTCCATTAACTTCGTAGTAAAACCAGGTAATTCAAAACAAAAAACAAGCTGGTCTTGCAAGGTTCACTTAGTTCCTAACTTTGTAATAAAAGAAACCAAAACCCTACAAGCGAATTCACATTTTTTTACTTTTGCACGCTTAAAAATAAAGCATCAGCTGAATTTAATTCTACGACTGCGTTTCTCCTCCTAAAATTCTTCCAACTTCAACTCTCATTAACGTGCCAAAAATCAAATCAAACTCTCAGAAGAGACCAGAGGAAAATCAGGTAAAGCTTACAATTCCTGAATCAGCTGTTGTTGGACACCAGGTACATACTACCCACCAGAATTAAAAGGAAGATTCTCCAAGGGTTAATTCAGGAATATCTAATGCATTCTATACATTCAATAACTAAAATTTCTCTTCTCCCCATGTGCATGGAAGTTTTATACATCGAGAGTATGTAAAAAGGCCACCACCAACTCACAGGTACGGATCTTAGTGGAGTTTAAGCCTTTGCTTTGTACAGAACAACGCAGCATTGTCTAAACAAAACAGTGTGACCCACATACACAAAAGCTGAGAGATGCTACGCAGAGGTACTGAAATGTTCACCCCATCCTCCCTTGTGCGGTGCCAAAAGGCAAGAAAATAGGACTTGCAAATTGATGTTGCATGCTCCTGTGTGCACACACGCATAGGACATGCATCCCTCCCTTCCCTCCCAGCAGATGCAGCAGGGAGTTTGGCCCAGTGAGCAGAGGGGTGCTGTGGTCTCTGCTCCACTGGCCTGCCCTCTCCCTGGCTTCCATCACGCTGCCTGGACATGGACGTTATTTCTTGTATGAGCTCCCAGTCAGACCCTGCATTTGTGAAACCCTGCTCTCTGGACACAGAGCATGCTGCCAAATGCAGTCACTCCCTGGCTCCAAATCATCATCATCATCACTCCCAATGCTGATCTGATCTGAGCTGAGAGTTAAGAGTTTGGCCTCAATTCAAAGAAGAAAGAAACTGGACCTATGTCTTGAGTTCAGGCTCACAATCCTGGGCTTAAAATCGCTTGGTGAAATTCCCTGGGGTACATTATGCAGGTCAGACTACATCATAATGGTCCTTTCCACGAAGAAAAAGTCTATGCATGCCTTCATTTCATCACAAAGAGATTATATGAAGCTCTAGAGACGGCTAAAGAAATGAGGCATTGTAGAAATGAGGTACATTTAATTTTCAGCACACAAGTTAAAAGTGTTACAGAAGACTAAACGGTTGTTTCCTGAGTAGTTGAAGTCTCCAAAAATCAGACTGAAAAGGCACAGGCAATTATGGAATGTGTTAAATTTATAGCTAAAATTTTTTTTAATAAAATCAAAGCTAAGGTACAATTCAAAACCTGTATCACTGGCACAACATATAAAATAATTTAAGTATAACCATTTTCTTTCATCACCAGTACATTAGGCTGTATCAAAATATTGTATACAAAGTGCACATTTCTAAAAGGCAAGTGTGAACCTGTTCTAGTATAGAGTAGTTCTCTACTTCCAATGGGATGCTGAATTTGTTTCTTGTGTCCATCCTCCTGCAGCTTAAGATTATTACTACTGGCATTTGCAGACAGTATATTTTTTCACCTTGCACACAACACATCATCATAAATGTTCAAAAATGTCTCCTAACACATTGGGGGGCCAACCTGACACACCTTAAATTGCCCAATTTTCACAGCTTACATGCTGAGCACTTTCTTTAAAAAGTATATAAAGTGCTTGAGGCGAGCCCACACTCAACACCCCAAAAAAATCTTGTGCAACCTTGGAAAAATCTGATGAATGAATGTCTAACAGCAGCTCCCAAGGCAGTCTGGGTCTTTAAAAAAAAGGAAAATCTGATCTAAACCCTATTCATTTGTTTCAATGGCCTCAAGGGTCTGACTGCTACATGCAGTACCTATGCATTGGTGGGAAAGGCTCAGATTTCTCACCAAAATAAGTCATTGGAGCCAGTCCCTCCCTTCTTAAAACATACAATCCAGATGATAAATGAAGAAGCCATTGGAGAGAGGTCTATCTTCAGATCTTCAAGAGCACCAAGAAAAGTATTTGTGGGGAAAAAAAATCCCATGTAAAGTTCATCAACTAAACTAGTTTCAGATTTAAGCATGGAACTGCAAGAAAAGGCAGAATGATAAAAACAGCTGAAAAAAATGGGAAGAACTGAGAGAATATATATATGTCTTACTTATGAGAACACAGAAATATTAGCTAAGGAAACAAAATATCCCCCCACATTTACAAGTTTGCATACACACCCAGAGCACAGAAGAGCCCCATATCCCTGCCTTTGTATTCATGGTCATGGACCTGATTTTGCTGTGCAGCTATAGTAGCTTGCAAGGTGTTCTTTATCCCAAATGAAGTAGGATCTGGGACCTCTCATCAACATGCAGGACCCAGATTAGTGTATTCTCTTCACTTCTGGAGTCATTATGCTTTTTGACCAGTCCATCCGCAAACTCTCCTGTGGGCTACAGGAGCAGAACTGGAAGGCTGCCAAGGAGGGGCAAAGTCCTAAGATTTACCTGCAGGGGTGGCAGATCTGAGGAGCCCTTAAGTACAAAACATGAGAAGCATTTCTCTAATATCCTCAAGCGTGCATTCTCAAGTGTGCTTTTAAGACAAATGAGGAGAGCTAAGTGCTTGATCCTCTGAAGTAACATAGCAGTGAATTCACATTCCTTTTGTTTAAAAAAGTTCTGTTAAATACCTTAATGCACCAAAATAGGCTGTATAAAAATTGCCCCTTGAAGCTGGAAGCCACTTTATAATGAGCTTCCTGATAAAAGTAATTTGGCCTTGATGTAACTATCTGTCTTTAAAATAGGGAAAACATGACTTCTCTCATTAGCAGCAGCAGCAGGGAAATGATGTCAAAGGGCAGCATGAAAAACTGGCTGGAAGTCACCATTTTTGGTGGCCTGAGTCATTGCTCTTCGTTTGGCCAGACGGGATTTGGACGGAGGAGAGAGTTTCATGGAACACATGGCTTGAGCGATGTTCTCTTGTTCTTCATTCAGTTCATTCTCATGCTGAGACAGCTGCCGGTTCAGGGCAATGGCTTCTGCTGCAAAAAGTGTCAAGTCTTTTGTGCTACTATTCCTTTAGGAAAGAAAATGGGGAAGAATTAATAATGGGCACAGAAACTCCCAGCCATGCACCTGACAAGGGCCAGACCAGCTTACAGTAAGATGCTCTTCCATGCTGGGAACAGGAGCTGGGGTTTCTAGATCACAAGACACTTTGCTACATTGCCTGTAGCTCAGAGCCTTTAGTCAAAAATCACTTGGAATGATGCCTGACTTACTCGATTTCAAATGAATGGCCCAGACTTCAATAACTGCAAGAACAAATCCTACTGGTGTAATATTTCAATGATAGAAGGATGTTTAATGTCTTTTTGGCACCACTGTCTTTTTTCCTTCTGTGATCCAAACCACCTCAGGATTTCTCCAAATCCCTTATAAAAAATTAAATTCTCTTAGTGCTGCCATCCTACTACTGAAACAACTTTGAATACTTCACCCATTACTGAATCAAAAATAGATTATGTCTAAACAGAAACTATTGCGTGTGTGCAAGTGTATGTATATGTATATATGTATAATAACTATCTATGCATTATAAATAAGGACTGCAGAGAAAAGACTATTAACCAGAGTGAGTTGACTATAAAAAAAGACAGGGAAGTGGTGGGGGCAATGCTGAAAAGGGTAAAGTATTAAAGTAATAAATCCATATGGACATAGGAGTAAAAAAAGCTAATACCTTCCTTCCCTGTCTTTTTTGTTCAAATACATCTCTATTTTGATAGCCTGCTCTCCCCATATCCATTCAGAGCACCTGACGAAATAAGTTCTTGCTTATGAAAGCATATGCATCTCCGATTTAATCTGTTTCTAAGGTGCATCTCTACCCTGCATTCTTCCTGACTTCAGATTAACAAGAAACAGTTACCTTTGAAGGACTTGTGGTGTAGGTAATCCCCTTTCAGGAGCCTGCTGTAAAATTTAATTAAAAAAAAAAAAAAAAAAAGATGTTTACTTATTGCCTCTGCTTTGTGGCAACCAAGATTTGTAGTCCTCTTAAACAGAAAACTTCCCTTTCCATCTTTATAATCAAAGCACACTATATATTTAGTTGCAGATATATTTTCTAAGATATGATAACAAGCCCACAATTATCATGTTCTTTTTAACTTTCCAATCTTAAAAGGTGATTCCATAGAGCTGCCGTATTTAATACAATTGAGACTGCATTAATTTAATTATAAAGCTGACAAAAACAACTCCTGTTTAGAACCTGAGTAAAATATGATACTGGAAGCAAAAAAAAAGAAGCAAGATCATGCAAAACATTTAGGGACTGCAATATATAAACTAGAATACACTTGGGTTCTTCGGTATCATATTAGAAAACACACACACGCCCCTAATTTCCTAGATTCAGTGTCTCGCAGCCACAGGAAAAACTCTTTATAAATGCAGAAGCCAGGAATGCGAGACAGTAAAAATTTGGCTTATACTAAATACTTGGGCCCCCAGCAGATGTACAATTAAAGGTACAATGGGATTGGATGTGCAATCCCCACAACTGCGCTTCCTGCCATGTATGTCCTGATCCCAGGCTGCCCTTGCACTGGTAAGTAGCAAGCTCCCACAGCTGGGAGCCCCCACAGCTGATCCGGGCTCCCAGCCTCAGGGGTACAACCATGCCTCCCACAGCTGGGAGCCCCATCAGCTGACAGAGCTCCCAGCCACGGAGGCACAGTGGAGCTCTTGAGTCCAGCTGTGCCCTGCAGCTGGCAGCCCCAATCTGCCACTGCTCCCAGCTGAGGGGACATATCAGGAGTCCAGGGCTCCAATGTGCCCCTGCGGCTGGGAGTGGCGGCTGATTGCAGCTCCCAGCC